AAAAAAATACATCAATTTAACATAAAAATAAAAAGATGATGTGTTTGAATATTCTTTATTCACTAAAAATGTATTCAAAAAAATTTTTTAATTTTGTAATGGTTTGATTTAAGAAAAATTTAAAATAATTATTATAATTTTGTTTTCTTTTTGTTTTAATAAACAATAGCCAATTTGTGCGTTATACAGGTAAAAAAAAATATATTTTGTGATCCTAAAAAAAAGTTAATATCAAATAATAGTTTCTCAACGCATATAATAATAACTTTAATTTCCAACACAAATCTTTCCAAATAATGGTAAAAAAATCTAGACAACACGTAACAAATTTTATAACAGTATGTGCATCTTGTATGCACATAAAAAATGTTGTTAAATCCAGCAGCCCACAGCGCAGCAAAATATGCTCTCCTTCGAATAAATAGTTTATAACAGAAAAAATAAACACCGAAAATACCGTTACATAATTCAATGCATTCGGCCGAACGCCATATGAATTTTTAAAGAATGCTGCCGCTGCCATAGTTCAAGCGTAACGTTCGTTTATTTACGACCACAAGCATTCTTGCTCAATGTGAAAAATGCGGAAGCAGCGTAAGAGGTCGGAGGAGAGGCAGGCGGCAAGCAACTTTTGATCCGCTTTTAAATTTCATGACTATGAAAATCATAAAATTTAAACAGCTTCCGCCTTTGCTCGGTTAGCCAGCAAACAAGCAAATAAACAAGCGCTAGCCATAGGCAAGCAGTGGCGGTGGCATGGCGGAAACGGAAGGGAGACATGGCAAACGGATGTGTTTGGTGAGAAGATTAAAATTGAAGCAGTGAAGGAGACACAAGCTGATCACGCCGAATTGCTTGCTACATGCATAGAAAAGACAGCAGTTAATATGAAGGGATTAAGCCACAGCATTATACAACATATATAACAACTAACTGCTAACCAACTAACGGTTGTTATCGTAAGGAGGGGTGGTAAGTTAAAACAACTTATGCGGTTAAATTTGATTGTCTTTTGCATAAGTTTTATCACCGCCATAAATAGTTATGCGCGCGTACGCAACCTTCAAGGAAAATCAGTCGCCTCGGCAGCCATGAGCAGCTTGTAAAAATTAAAGCTTTTGTCTTAGCAAAAGCTGTGGTTTCGATTTATACTTATCTTTTATCGCATTTGCTGTGTAAACGCATACATTTTGGCACAATGTAGGAATACATTGGTTAAGAGCAGGATGTCTTTATATGCACTTGTTTAGGTTGCTCATACGTAGTGTTGTACAAATGCTATAGAGTGCGCTTATTAAACAAATAGTAAATTTATTATAGAAAATGAGGGAAAATAAGTGAATTAGAAAACTTGCTCGCAAAACTGAATAATTTTTTCTAAAACTTTTATTTTTAATTAATGAACAATTGTTTTAAAAAAATTTCTGAAAGACTTTTAAAACTTATTACTTTTTTCTTACTTTACGAACTACTTAGATGTGCCAGCCTTGCTTTATTTAAATCTTAAAAATTACTTTTTTTTAATTTTGTCGAAAAATTCACATTTTATAGAAATATTATTTTAAGAACTACTTTTAAAATTGTCTGCGTTTTTATAACTTTTTAAACTACTTGGATTAGCAACTTTTGCTTTGTGAGTAGAGCAAGCGATCATAACTTATATTTGTTATAACTTTTTTATCTTCATTATTCAAATTATACATTTATTTTAAGCTAACCTAAGTCTTCTTTGAAAAAAAAATTATCAAGCAATGTTTCTACTTCTTAAATCGAAATCTTATGTTCTGCAACTAAAACTAGTTACTCATTCCGAATGTTGTGCACACTTTGAACATTTTTTGCTATTCTCTATATAAAAACAACAACATTTTCAATTTTCTAATAATTCAGCATTTGCAAAGGTAATAATTATTCAAATTAATAAAACTTTAACATAATCTAATATAAAAACTTTTTAAAATTTTTTTTTTTTTGTAAAAATTATATATTTTTGAAATAAAATTTTGAAGCCAATTAAAATTTTCTTGAAAAAACAATAATATATTAAAAATTACAAAAATGTTTAAATACTAATACAATCCAACGTTTTACTATGGCTACTGCACTAAAGTTACTCATACGCAGTGGATGTATTACGAATGCGACCATTTAAAGATGAAATTTTTGATTAACACAACAAATAGCGTTTTTATGCACAAAATTTATTCATGTATCATTTTCAACAAAAAAAAAAAATCTAAAAAAAAAAAAATGCAAATATATTTTTCTGAATAAAAAACTGAAATTTACCCCACAAATCTAATTTGCCTACAGACCATTTTTGGCATAACTGATTTGATTTAATTAGCATTTTCACTGTATTTGTTTAGTTAAATTAGCTGAGTTTTATAATTAGTTTTGCGGTTTCTGAACAACTGCCAAAGTATTGTAAGAAAAACAACAACAAATAAATAAATTCAACAAAATTGCCTAAGAGCTGTCAGACAAGCGCAGCTTTATAGTCTCTTTTGTGGCTTTTGTGGTGCTTTTGTAATTTTGTTAGAAAAAAAAGCACAAAGAATTAATGAGCACATACATTGTGGTCAATTATGTGGCTATGGAAGATGGTAGAAAGAGAGAAGTGGAGAAATTCAAGCACCGAATTGGAAGAGACAATAAAAGAGTGGTGAAATAAATAAAGAAATATATTGTTACAAATAATAATTTCGTATATGCATATATGAGATTAAAAAGTATGGTAGGGTTGACTAACATATAGACAAGCTATAGAAAACAATATAAAAAATATATTATTAAAAATAAAAAAAAATTAAAACGAATTTCAAAAAGAGTATAAAAAAAGTATTTTAAAAAAATATTATTTTAAAACATTAAAAAAATTATTATTTTAAAACATTAAAAAAATTATTTAAAAAAACTTTAAATAATATATGTATATGAAAAATATTTAAAAAAAATTATTTGAAAAAAGTGTATAAAAAAATATTTAAATAAAAATATAATATATAAATAAAAAAAATTTATTGAAATCTAAAATCTTTCAACGCACGAACAAATATTTCTAACTACTTCATAAGTCCGTCAGAAAATAACAGAAATGCAAGAAAAACTATCTCTTGCCTAAAATTAAGCTGAGTTTAATTGTCTACTCTTTGCAAAATAGGGTGTTTCAGATATTTAGTTAATTTTTTTTTTGCGCAGCAAAGTTTAACTCTTAAAAAAATTTTATGAATTTTTTTTTGTTTTTTGCTGTAAACAAGTTCTAATTAAAAATGCAACTCAAAGTATGCCAACAATATAAATTGCGACCACAAAGCGCGCTTCAAAGTTGCAAATAATATTGAGGCGCATAAAAATTTGCTGAAAATATATATAAAAAAAAAACACATATACACATACATACGCACATGAGAAGAAGATCAGCAATTTCGCTGCTGCCATATTAACTTTTGCGCCCGCAGCCGCTGGGGAGTGAGTTGAAATGTATTGCAAAATAAATAAGTGCTTTCATTTGAAATTAGCACAAAAGGCATCAAACTGCCTGGGAAATATTGAAAGGCGGGTCACAAGGGAAGTGGGGGGCGAAAACAAGTATATTTATATTCATTTGAGTGAGCAACAAGACGAAAAGCTGGCAACATGCGAAATATATTATAAAAATATTTATGTGTGTGTGTGTGAATAAAGGGAGAAACAATAAATAACAAATAAAAAAGTAAATATATAAAAATATAAAAAAAAATTTATGAACTGCCATATTAATATGCATGTACGAGTATGTGTGTGTGCGCTTGTAGCACACTAACTAATTTCCCCAGAGAGTCATATTAAGTGAGCAAAAAAAGGAAGAAAAAATTATTGTAGCAGCCTTTTCGGCGTACGCTGATGCGCCAAGGAGTGAGTACTATTGAATATATACATATTATATATATGTTTGTGTGTGTACTTGCAGCGCATGAAAACTCTGCAAATGGAATGTTTGAATGCAACGCGAAAGCGTAATAAATATAAATGAGTAGAGCTATAAAAGATTGTTTGGAGCGAAGAAAAGAGAGAGGAGGAGAAGTAGAGTAGCAGTAGCAAGAATTCACTTCGATAGCTGGAAGTTCAATGGGTCTAAGGATTGATGGATTAGTAGAGAATCAGACATATCTCAGGCTTCGTTTTTTGTTCAAGAAAGTGGCAACGGCCAGATGCACAACTATCATTCATTTCACAATTGAAAAAAATATTGGAATTGAAATAAACATTATTTATGGTATAAAAACGAAAATAATATTTTTGAAATGACAAAAAAAAAAAATTATTATGAAACTAAAAAAAATTATGATGAAAGGGAAAAAATTTTTATGAAATGAAAAATTTTGTAATTGCTAAAAAAAAATTATTTCTGATATGAAAACAAAAAAAATATTTATAAATGAAAACAAAAGTATTTCTAATATTAAAGACGTAAAAAAATAATTAAAATATTTATGCAATGAAAAAATTACTAAATAAAAATAATATTCATGATATAAAATCCAAAAAATTAAATGAACAAAAAAAAACAAATTATGAAATTATATTTATATTTTAAAAAAATTACAAATATTTAAAAAATGATAAAAAAAAATATTTTATTTAAATTTTCGTCCAACTCAATAAACAATTCACAAAAACTCCAACAACCAAAAATACTCTCAAGTTCCCGAAACCAATGCTCCCGCATTCACCTACCAACTCCTGCCCTAATAAAATAATTAAATAAAAAATAAATTAAAAAAAAAAAATTAATTAAAAATTTAAACTTCCTTAATTATCACTCAAGCTCAGCTAATTAATTTCATTACCAACACTAACACAGATAAATTTTTCGATATTTCTTTCACTTTGTGTGTGTGTGTGTGCGTGCGTGTGTGTGTGTCGCAAGACGTGTGCATGTTTTAAAAAGGAGGAACACTAAATTTTGTTTTTGTTTTTTTTTTGTGGTTTGCAACTAATTCGAAACTACTACTCACTGTAGGGTTGTGGGCGTGTTCCATAGAGCGGCTCTTGTAGCAGCGGTGATCGACCATTTCCAATCTCCTTAACTGCAATTAAAGAGAGAAGACAGTAGAGTAGAGTAGAGTAGTTGTGGTTGGCATTTACTTGTGGTTGTGGTAGTAGTTTTAGTTGTTGTTGTTGTTGTTGTGCTAGTGGCAGTGACAGTGATTGCAAATCACTAGTTGTTTATTAATTGTTTTTTAGTTTTTGTTGTTGTTTTAGTTGTAATTTTGAAAATTGTTCGAAATTAAGCGGTTGAATGCACAGGAAAATTAAAAAAATAAACGATTTCGCTTTAAAAATTCTTCTGTTTCCATAATTAACTATGAGTATTAGATTAACTAGTTTTCTTTGAGTTGGTGATCGTTTTGCTTGGCAACCCCGTACACACACACATACACGCAGCATTGTGTAGAGATAAGACTTCTCCGCTCATTTCAATATTTTATAGTGAAAAATAGATGGCGGTTTCTTTGAGTGTAATGAAATCAGCTCCACCATACATGATAGTTGAAAAAAATTCATATTTCAAATAAAAATAAAATCATATAATAAAAAAATTAGCAAAGTTTAAATAGTTTAAAATGTATTAAACTTAAACAAAACGAACTAAACACATTCATTTGCTCTCTCAAACAATTCAGAAACACAACTAATCTTATTTAATTTATATTGAAAGCTTCGAATTTGTATACAAAAACAATCAAATGGCAAGCAATTTCATCACAGGCATTCACCCTAAATGTATGCTTCAAAAAGTATTTAGGACAATTGTTTTATGTTATCGCAAGGAGACTGCATATAATAATTATAGTTAAACAAACTTCTGCAAAGTTTATTTAAAGTGATAGCTCAAAAAAATTACATGAAGGTTTGCAAAGCAGTAATAATAATATCTAGGTGCTAACGGTATATATTTGCTGCCTAAAATGAAAACTTTATTGCTTCTATTCGCTGTTGCTTAAATCACAGACTAGGCTTTTGAAGTATCTAATGACAACATACACAAAGAAAACAATGCTCTAGATCACACATGAATCAACTTGTTTGGACGAAGATAGTATGTAATTACGACCGTAATAAAATATCGAAATCAAAAAATTTCTTGCTTCACTAAAAGTTAAAGCCGCTTTTCGATTTTATTAAATAATTTTATCAATTTCTTGAATATACCATATATGAATCGATACATTTTTGATATATACCGATTTATTTATCGATATAATTTAATCGAAAATTAATTTTTGGCGTAGCATCTTACGATTTCATAAATTTATTAAATTTTGTTGGTGTTTTGGATATAATATCTATTGCTCGATAACATTTCGATATATACCGATAAGGGAATCGACATAACTTAAACGAAATTAAATTTTTTGTGTAGTATGTTACGATATCTTACGATTTCATAAACTTTGTTGCATCGATTTCTGGCATATAGCATGTATTAATCGATAAGATTTTGATATATACCGATATATTTAAAACCAAAACTAATTTTTTTGTGTGTATAATGTTACGACATCGTACGATTTTATAAAACCAAGAAATATTTTTATCGATTGCTTGCTTATAGCATGTATCAGTCGATAATATTTCAATATATACCGATTTCTATCGATATATGTATATCGATTTCTTTATCGATATAGTTAATTCAAAAATTAAGTTCTTTGTGTAGTATGTTACGATATCTTACGTTTGAATAAAATACTCACACCAATGGAACAATTTTTGTGTCCCTTTTATAATTTTATTTTCTACATACGTACATACATACATTTTTAGATATGTATAAGTATACTTTGAATTCTATCAAGAACATGTACAGAAGCACCTCTTCCTCGATAATTCTTAGAACAGTTTAATATTCTTATCATAACCGATAATTTTAAAGAGTTCCGATAAAATGTAGTAGCTACCACAAATATTCGATATATTTTAGTGATAATATCTACGCAAAATCTTTAATATTTTAGTGTTAACGCCAAATTTTCTAAATACTTTTATTAGGTGCTTTGAATAATTCAAACTTTTAGAGAATTTAACAAATACCAATCAGTTTTTGCAAATTATAAACTATCGATAGTTGAATTTTACGGTCATTATATGAGGAATCTATTTTTTTTTTATTTGGAAACCTTTTTTATTAGGGAAAGTACACATACATTTATATTTCTCTTAAATAATGATCAGCTTTCTTTTGCTAAATTTCGATAATTATTATCGATATGTTTATAACAAAGATCGATAAAAAATAAATTTCAAATATTTTCGCTGTTGCTCTTTCACTAATTAACTAACTAACTAAATTTACCATTTACAAACAGCGCTTAGTTGAACTTTTGAAATATTTATTAAAGATTTGTCATAAAAATTATTTATGACTTCTCATAAACGAAACTCAAAAGCTCATGTGAAAAAACGAGTGCTCTTTTGAGCATAAATTACGGCAAATTCAGGTCAACTGCATAGCCTATGCATTCTAGAGTGCGCAAAAAGGTGAATTAATTAGAATTTATTTGTCGGCGGCAACGCCATTTAAATGCGCGCAAGCGTGTGGCAATGAAGTGGCTTGTCAGCGGTCGCCAAATGTAAACTAACAAAGTGTGCGCATATGTGCATTGAAATAAACTAACTTGGCGACAACAAGTGATCGACAAGGCAGGTGAACTGACTGAGTAACATTCGCGCGGTCACTTGGTTGACCAGTTGGGCAGGTACAACGCTCAGCTACCCGTTCAAGTCCATTTCAGCGTGTTGCAGCTGCAGCACAAAACCGATTCAAATGCGCATTATTTGAGTCAAGGTTATCTCAAAAAACAACAACTACCATATATAAGGTGATACTGAAATGTTAAAAAACAAAATTAAATACTAATCCACACTTGACTCCGCTTGCACCGAAGCTGTAATACGCTTCACAAATAAAAACGTTTATCATACAAGAACTTGCTTTTGATCGGCCAGTTTGTATGGCAGCTATATGCTATAGTGGTCCGATATCGGCGTTTCTACAAATGAGCAGCTTCTTGAGGAGAAAAGGACGTGTGTTAAATTTCAGATCGATAACTCGAAAACTTTTTGTTTCTTGGTGCTACAAACATTGTGGAAACCGAATCAGGGTATAAAAAATAAATTTAAAAAAATTAAAAAAAAAATTTATTAATAAATTAAACATGTATAGAAATAAAAATGTGAAAAAATGTTTAATTCACACAAATGTCTAATTGCAATACAACAACAACCGCACACACACATACGTCGCATTTGCAATCCAAGCATGTACCTGAAAAGCCTACCTGAAAATGCCCATTCAACATAATTAACTTGAAAATTCTGCCATTTCGGTTTTACAAATTTATTTTCATTTGTTTTTAATTTCTCAATTTTTTCCAGCTGTTTAACCGGCTGGGGGACCTTGCCAAATGCCTGAGAACATAAAGAATTGTATAGTGTGTGAAAAAACTGCTGCGCACGCTTGGCTTTTGACAGCGTTTTCACAAAAACCGCAAACTCAATAACCATAATGCATTTCGTAGCAGCTCTGGCAACAACACAAACAACAGCAATTAAGCGTGTATTGCCATTTTTGTATGCACAATTCGCTCGACCGCTTTAGAATGTTGTCAATTGCACATTTATTTCGAAAAAAAAAGAAACCCTAATCTGTGTATGTGCTCGAGCTTTGGTGCAGCACTTGAAATGTTCGCTTCATAAATATTTATTGCCATTTTTATAGTTTTCAATTCCAAATATAGCACGAAAGTGCTGTTTATGGCTCGCAATCGAGATTCGGAGTAGAAAATGTTTGTGATAATTTTGTTGTACGGCACTAGTTACTTTTAATGAGATACTTTAAGATGATTACAAAAATGGTAGTTACACAAATAATCGAAAAAAATCGTACAAAAAAAAGAAAAAAAATCGATGACCTTTCGATTCTTACATTTCATTATAATTTCTCCAAAAAATACATTAAACATTTTTTTTGGTCTCTATACGCCCAGCTTTTCGCAATACTTTGCATTTTTGTGGGAAAAAAAAATCGACAAGATGAAAAAAAAATCGATAAATTCAAAAATTCTGTTTTTCCACGCCCAGCTTTCGGCGATATTGTGCATTTTTGTGTTTAAAAAAAAATCGGAATTATTAAAAATAAAAAAAAACGATAGATACATTTAAAAAATGTCTCCATAAAAAGCTTTACTAAATATAATATTTGTTTCTTAATTTTTTGTTTCTATAAGCTTAACTTTCTCCCTTAATTTTTCGTGTTTGTGACTCGACTGAGGCAAATTGATAAATTTGCTATTCAAAAATTACTCGATAGCTATATTTTTGATATATCACGATGGGAATCCTAAAGGTTTAAGTGTGTCGAAAGACAGTCACTCCACCTATATTTTCGATAAGTAGGGCTTAAATATTTTATTTTCGCATGAAGCGCATAGATATCATACTTAGATCTTTTTCATTTCATATACAGCTGTGATTTAACGCTAACTATTTATCGATATATTATTTTTATCTTGTTTGTTAATTATACATTTGGTGAACATATTTAATTGACTAATTAAATGTTTTTCGTTATCGATAACAAATTTTTTTTTAGCAATTTGTAACGATATTTAATATATTGACATATGATAAAAATCAATGATTTTAATTGAAAGTCGATAATTTTTCACCGAAAATCGTTTAAGTGTAATTTAGTAATAAAATTAATTGCTTTATTACCGTCATCATAGTTTTAATCTATAATTTTTAAATAATCGATATATCAAATGTCGATATTTCTTTTTTCTGCAACACTTCAAAATTGATGTTTACAAAATAGTCGATATACCACGAAAATCGATACTTTTTTTTGTTTTTCTTTTCTGTAATTTAAAGCATGTGATATTTATGAGTAACTACATTTAACAAATAATCAATATACAAGTATGTATTATAATAAATTGAATACTATATTTATCACATTTTCTATTTTTGTTTGTAAAATTCAAGGCAGGAATTTTTTTACCAAAACTTTTTCTTAAGTTGGACCCCAAAGGCATTTAGATGGATTACTAAGCCTATTGACTATATAAGAGAAGAGGCCGCCCCATCGATATTGTGGAATTTTTTTCGACAACTAAAAACAATAGTGATAAGGATGTATTCTGGAAGCAAAACACAGTGCTCGCGGTGTTTCCTTTTGCAGAGCAAGCTCCACTCATTACGCTTTAGGACTAACAACTGATTTTTCGCTTGCATATACTTAGGCGCACTACCTTTATCTAAACCTGAAAACCAATTTTTTTACTTAAAAAGTATAATAAATAATAAATATATGTATGATGGTATAACACATAAACATAAAAATGGATTATTTAAACTCTTCAGCACCAAACATATATCAGCAGTGAGGCTACGGCACTTTAGTTTTAAGTTACTCACACACACACACATACAGACACACTTAAATAAAATATACAAAAATGTACATATATACGAAAAATAATACCTGCAACAATTGCACAAGACGGACGATCCATGCCGCAGTACCGCACACAATCCTCGAAATAGTTGGCAAAGCCGTCGGCTGCTACTGGCCACACACATACACACCACCGCGCACTTGCCGCTTGTGCCACCACTACTCGCTCGCTCGCCACACGCGCTCTACTACTACTCATACATATACTACTACTACTACTGCCACTACTACTAAACAATCGCCAGTGTTGCTGTTAACGCTTTTATATTATACGCAATTCCTAGCAGCTACAACAACAAAAAAGTAGTAAAATTAAACAATTTTGCTTCGGTATGCAAGTTTTTGCAACATTTTGATTTTTGGAAATTTGCAAAAAATTCAAAAAACATTTCAAGTACTTTCAAGCACACGTTTTTGTTTACTGAGAAAACGTTGATTTGTTGTTGTATTCTTCATGGCACGGTTGCCATATAATTGCAGTGCATTGCTATTTGTTGTTACTATGGCATATTTTGGTTCTGATGCGCATAGCGTTCTTGCTCGGCCAACAGTTGTTTGGAATAAACCGCTTGTTTTTGGTTCTCGATTCTAATTTGCGCCACTTTTAGTGTTTTCATGCCTATTTGGCAGTGAACTTTTTGCTCCATTTTTGCAACACGCTTCTAGCAATTCTTTCAGCACGCTTTCACTACCTCTACTCATGGCAATAAAAATGGCAAGCTAGCACAAGTTATAATTTTCAAAATAGTAGTAAATATAGTAGTAGTAGTAGTAGTAATGGTAGTAGAATTAGTAGTAGCTTGAGAGTTGTCTGTGGCTGGCAGTTGCTGCTCTTGTGGGAGTCGTTCACTGCTGTTATTGCCGGCTGTGCTCTTTGTTGTTGTCATCGTCAACGCCGCCGTCACCGTCGCTAACCCTGCACACAGACAAACAATCGAGAATTTGCATTTTTGAGTTTGAAAGTTTTTTTTGCAATTTTATTTTTTGTTATATTGTTTTTGTTTCTATTTTTTGCTTTACTTTGTTTCTGAGCGAGATTTTGTTTGAAATTTTGAGTTTCGAAAATATTTTTCTTTTTTTTTTTTTTTTTAAAAAGTTTTCTTGTTTTCTGTGCAAAATTTATTAGTTTTCTTTGAAATTTCGTTTTGGCTTTGCAAAATTTTTGTTTGCTGTTTGTTTTTGCTTGGTTTTAGTTTTGTTATTGGTTTTTGTTTGCGAAAGATAGAGAGAATTTTTTAGAATACATATTTTTTTAATTTACTTTGAATGCTGCATGTTAAGAATTTTGTGGTGAAAGGCACTTGAGAGAGAGTTGACTTTTGGCTTGTCTGCTTGTTTGGTAGGTTGGTTGGTTGTTGGTTGGTGGGGGTGCTGATACTGGCTTTTGCTTATTTTTTTTTTTTTTTGACAAATTTTCAATAAAATTTTTTTGGGGTTATTATTTTTTTCTGGTAACCTTAGCAAAATTAAAAATTCGTTGTACTTGTTGTTGCTGTGCTTTTTTGTTGTTTTGAAATTGAATGTTTTTGAATTTTTTGAAATTTTTTTTTTGTTTTGCTTGCAAAAAGTAACAAATCTAAATACACTATTTTGTTAATTTTTCATCAAAACAATTTCTCGAAAAAAGTTATGCTGTGCATATATAGAGGCTTAAAATATTTGTTGTTGTAGCTAAAACTGTTATTTTGATAATATATGTTTTTGTCAATTATTATTTTCTGTATGTATGTTGCGAAAAGCGCCAAGGTTGACAAGTGTATGTCTAAGTTGTGCTGTGTATTTTAGAGTAGATTTTATTATTTCAAAATAACGGTGCTGAGCACATGTTGGCATAAAGTTAAACTTCAATATTTCTAGCAAAAATGTACATTTGTTTCAATTTCCGGCGTGTGTTTGCGCTGCAGATCACTTTTTAACGTGATTTTAGTTTTTATTTTTGTTGTTGTTGTAAATCTTTGACTTGTGCATATGTTTGTGTTGTTGTTGCTTGTGGTTTTGATGTACAAATTTCATATGTTGCTATTGTTTTTGCTGTCGATAAGCGCAAAAAGCTATGAAAGCATGTCTAGAAATGCCACTTTCGCACTTTTCAAAACCTTTTTTCGTCTTTTTCTTTATGTTGTTCTCAATAAGTGCTATTGTGTTATTGCAGCTTCATGTCTTCGCTTTCGTTTGTGTTTATTAAAAATTTACAAATCATATTATATCTTATGTTAGCAACCTTGTTTACTTAGTTACTCCTGTTGTGTGCTGGCGTTGTTTCATTGTTTAGTGTTCAATTCTCATGTGTGCTTTTAGTGCCAAAGCTCCAAGAAAGCATTGTGCTTTAAGCGTTGGCTTCATAGTTTTTAGTACTAATTTTATGTTGTTATTTATTGTAATTTTCCGCGTGCTACGTGTTATTGTTGTAATGGTGCTAATGAAAATTTGCGACTTTTTCGGAGAGCTCTGCATGTTAATTGTTGTTTTTGTTACGATTTCATGTGTTTTCGTGTGTGTGTGTGTGCTTTGTCAAAAAAGACTTTGATTTGGCTAACTCCAGTTAATTTTCCTGCCCCTCTCGACCTATCCTCGGAACATTTGTATATGCAATGGTATGTGTGTGAAAAATTATGCCAAATTTCAACAAAAAGTTTACGTTTGTGAGCTTTGCTTGCAGACTGCACAATTCACAATTCAGTAACGGTACTCTACCACCTGCTCAGCCCCCACACAACGTCCTCTACAAGCCTATGTAATTTATTAGAGTTTGCCAAATTTTGTTTGTCCGCAATATTTAGTGGTTTTTGGTATTTATTTTTGAGTAGCTTGTTTGTTGTTGCTATAGTTTGTTTGTTGTTGCTGCAGTTTGATTGTTATTTGATTGTAGTTGGCTTGATAGTTAATGTTTGTTTGCTTGTTTGTTTGATTGTTATTGGTTTCGGTAAGTGCTTTATATGTGACCTCGCTCGCTCTCCTTCGCTCTCGCTTTGTTTCTCTCTATGAAATTTCAATTGTGTTTTGGCATCCTTTATGGAATCTGTCCCAACTTCTTAGTTCTGTGCTTGTTTTTGTTGTTATTTGCTATGGATTACGAGTTGTTGTTGTTGTTGTTTGTTTTTGCTATACATTTATTTGATTGTTGTTAAAAATATTGTTTGCTGTTTTTGTTATTGTTACAGCTGCTTGCTTTGTTTGGTTCTAATTTGCTTTCTGCTTTTGTGGTAAAAATTTTCTGTTTTTTTTTTGTTTTTTGTTTTTGTTTGGTTGTTAGCATGAACTTGAAAGTTTTACAGTTAACTTTATGAGTGCTCGAGAGTTTGGTGGCACATCGGCAAGCTGGTGGCGCTGTGGGTGTTTTTGGTGTTAGCATGGTTTGTATAATTTATGTACCTACCTGTAATTTGGCCTGAGTCCACGTTGTTGTTGTTCTTGTTGTTGTGCTTGTTGTATTTTTGTTAATCATATATTTTGTAGAACTCTTTTGTGTTACAATACAATATATACATATACAAATCAAAGAAATAAGCTTGGTAAGTGTTGTGTTATCTAAAAGGTACGTTAAACATTTAAATCGAGTTTGTGTAGCAAGAAAGCGTTAACTGTAATAATGCCTGGTTTACACTATGTCAGTTTTATGCATAATCCCAGCTTACACTTTGACAATTTAATGAAAAATCAGTATAAATAATGGGTGTTTTAGCTTATATAATACCAATTGTGTTTAACGATAAACTGAAAGTTTTGTAATGTATAGCTTAAAGTAAAAAAAAATCAATGTTCTGGAAGGGATAAAAAAAACTTTATATGAAAAATAATTTGCGTAAACCCTCCACTATCTCCATAGTTTTCGTACTTGTGATCTGCTTAAATTATTTCATGCAAATGGGCGTGAGTTACTCAAGAAACAAGAGCAACCTATTCAAACTTGTTATGGCACGTTCCCAAGAAACATTAAGAACCAAAAACTGGTAAGAGTTCTAAAAATAATAGAGTGAAATTCCAAGTAAACAAAAAGCAAGTAAAGCGAGTATGTAAAACGTTCTGAGGAATCTCATATAATCAACCAGAATCTTAAGAACTCTTAAAAGCTCAAAAAACAATCCAACTTAATTGATTTTTAATACCAAAGTTGCTAGAAACAGCGATTTGGTTTAGGGATTGAGTCATAAAAAATATAAAAAAAAATTTATAATGAGAGAAATTTTAAAGCAGAAAAATTAACTACTGATATATAAAAGTATGACTTCAACAAGAGATTAATTATCCGTCTAGAATGCTGACACTTTGTACATCACCCAGCGAAGGAACCACGGTTGCGTAATTGTTAAAAATGTTGCAAAAGTGTTTCGGGGAGTCTACACACACACACAAGTGCTTGAGGAGCACAAAGCATTCATTGAAGATGGATAAGCCATTGAAACATTGCCGCATGCGTGTCGACCATCAATGGATCGACTCAACACATTTTGGTTATTGTTTTGGGTATGTCAATGCCAGTATCGTACCAAAAGAACTGAGTATTTTGCAAAAACGAATAAATTATATGTTCAGATTTTTATACTTAAGTGGCAATGGTGTTTGTGTCAAAGTTTATCACACCTTCAACTTCATGCTTTAACCTCGAGAAAGTATAAATAGCTCGGGACTTGTTTCGAAACTTTTATAAAGCATAGCAAAACTAATTGAACTTGGTCATTTTAAGTATAAAATACATTTTAAGAATATCAAAAATATATCCTTCTGGATCTGGACTCAAGCCATTATTGTGTCGTCTATACAGGAATACATAGTCTATATATGCAAGTGGTGCGATTAGGCGTATTATTCTGCTGTGTACTACTTTTGAGAGCATTCGTTTTAGACACAAAGCCAACGTTAGGGTGTTTAAAATGCTCAAAGCTGATGATTTTGTAGATCTACATGGACTCAATAGCCGTTTAAATGCGTTCTAATACCGAAAACCAAATATTTTAAACAGCGCTAGTGTTAGTGATAATGGTGTTGGGAAAAAAACGCTTGAGAGTAAATATCATAACAATGATTTCTGTAGTAAGTATGTGCAAAGTGAAGGATGAAGAGAAATTTAAACGTTTTCTAGGAAAGTTTAGTAGGGTATAGAGGGCAAAGTGATATCGTTTTAGAATGAGAAAGCCTTGCAATTATTTTAATAGGTGGGGTAAATACCATAGTGTTTAACGAAACAATAATTTTCTTATCTCCCATCACGTTACTTGGTATTTTTCCATAACCACAAATGTGTGAAAGCTTGTCGCGCTGATGGAATTCTGTCAGAAATGTAATAAATGAAGCATAACCACAGCACGAGCAACTTGAAAATACCTATCACTAACCAAACAACAACAAAGTTAGTGGCATTACATGAGCTTTACACTTATTCAATGCGACGACTAACACATACACGCAGGTGTATTTATTCGGTGCCATAGTCACCACTATTGTGGGCACTTTTGATAATGCAACAAACGAAAATATTTATTTATTTATACATTCTAACGCTGGTCAACATTAGTGGCAATAAAATTTCCGCAAATAAAAGCGACTATCAACGAAATGAAATCGGAAGGGCCATAACAAGAAGAAGAACAAGAAGAAATAACAACGGAAATGCCAGGAGAAAAAAAAGAGAGAGAGGGGTGCTAAGGAGCTACAAAGTGGGTGCCTTTAGGTTTATAACTTCAAGTGAGTGTTTGTATGTGTTCAAGCGTGTGTGCGTGTGTGACTAAGCACTTGTGGTTGTGGTAAGGTGTGAGAAAAGCGGTTGAGCAAAATATTTGTGCTAGTCGAAACTGTAAGCTCGAATTAATGGAAAAAGGAAATACGTTCATATACTCGATATGTATGTATTATATATATGTGTGTGCATGTACTCGTAAGTGATATAGCAATAGTTAACAGCTGCAGCGTCGAGGGAGT